AAGTTCTGGGATACATGTGCGGAACATGCAGGTTTGTTACATAGGTATACATGTGCCATGGTGGTTTGCTGCACCTATCAACCCGTCATCTAGGTTTTAAGCCCTGCCTGACAGATACCTATTTGTCCTAATGCTCTCCCTCCTCTTTCTGACCACGCCCTGACAGGCTCTGGTGTGTGATGTTCTCCTCCCTGTGTTCATGTGTTCTCATTGTTCATCTCCCACTTATGAGAACATGTGGTGTTCGGTTTTCTGTTCCTGTGTTAGTTTGCTGAGAATGATGGTGTCCAGCTTCATCCATGTCCCTGCAAAGGACATGAACTCATTCTTTTTTATGGCTGCATAGTATTCCATGGTGTGTATGTGCCACATTTTTCTTTATCCAGTCTAATATTGATGGGCATTTGGGTTGGTTCCAAGTCTTTGCTATTGTGAATAGTGCTACAATAAACATACATGTGCATGTGTCTTTATAGTAGAATGATTTATAACCTTTTGGGTATATACTCAATAATGGGATTGCTGGGTCAAATGGTATTTCTGGTTCTAGATCCTTGAGGAATTGCCACACTGTCTTCCACAATGGTTGCACAAATTTACACTCCCACCAACAGCGTAAAAGCATTCCTATTTCTCCGCATCCTTGCCAGCATCTGTCGTTATCAGACTTTTTAATGACCATCATTCTAACTGGCGTGAGATGGTATCTCATCGTGGTTTTGATTCGCATTTCTGTAGTGACCAGTGATGATAACCTTTTTTTCATATGTTTGTTGGCTGCATAAATGTCTTCTTTTGTGAAGTGTCTGTTCATATCCTTTGCCCACTTTTTGATGGAGTTGTTTTTTCCTGTAAATGTGTTTGATTTCCTTGTGGATTTTGGATATTAGCCCTTTGTCAGATGGATAGATTGAAAAATTTTCTCCCATTCTGAATGTAGGTTTCTCCTTGAAGAGGTCCTTCACATCCCTTAGAAGTTGTATTCCTAGGTATTTTATTTTCTTTGTAGCAATTGTGAATGGGAGTTGACTCATGATTTGCCTCTCTGTTTATATTTGTATATAGGAATGCTTGTGATTTTTGCACATTGATTTTGCATCCTGAGATTTTGCTGAAGTTTCTTATCAGCTTAAGAAGTTTTGGGGCTAAGACAATGGGGTTTTCTAAATATACAATCATGTCATCTGTAAACAGAGACAACTTGACTTCTTCTCTTCCTGTTTAAATGTAGGTTCACTCTGATGATAGTTTCTTTTGCTGTGCAGAAGCTCTTTAATTAGATACCTTTTGTCAACTTTGGTTTTTGTTGCAATTGCTTTTGGTGTTTTAGTCATGAAGATTTTGCCCATGTCTATGTCCTGAATGGTATTGCCTAGGTTTTCTTCTAGGGTTTTTATGGTTTTAGGTTTTATGTTTAAGTCTTTAATCCATCTTGAGTTAATTTTTGTATAAGGTGTAAGGAAGGCATCCAGTTTCAGTTTTTGCATATGTCTAGCCAGTTTTCCCAGCACCATTTATTAAATAAGAAATCCTTTCCCCATTGCTTGTTTTTGTCAGGATTTTTGAAGATCAGATGGTTGTTGATGTGTGAGGTTATTTCTGAGGCCTCTGTTCTGTTCCATTGGTCTATATATCTGTTTTGATACCAGTACCATACTGTTTTGGTTGCTGTAGCCTTGTATTATAGTTTGAAGTCAGGTAGCATGATGCCTTCAGCTTTGTTCTTTTTGCTTATGATTGTCTTGGCTATACAACCTCTTTTTGGTTCCATATAAAATTTAAAATCGTTCTAATTCTGTGAAGAAAGTCAGTGGTAGCATGATGGGAAAAGTGTTGAATCTATAAATTACTTTGGGCAGTATGGCTATTTTCATGATATTGATTCTTCCTATCCATGAGCAGGGAATGTTTCCCTATTTGTTTGTGTCCTCTCTTACTGAGCAGTGGTTTGTAGTTCTCCTTGAAGAGGTCCTTCACATCCCTTAGAAGTTGTATTCCTAGGTATTTTATTTTCTTTGTAGCAATTGTGAATGGGAGTTGACTCATGATTTGCCTCTCTGTTTATATTTGTATATAGGAATGCTTGTGATTTTTGCACATTGATTTTGCATCCTGAGATTTTGCTGAAGTTTCTTATCAGCTTAAGAAGTTTTGGGGCTAAGACAATGGGGTTTTCTAAATATACAATCATGTCATCTGTAAACAGAGACAACTTGACTTCTTCTCTTCCTGTTTAAATACCCTTTTTTTCCTTTTCTTGCTTCATTTCCCTGGCCAGAATTTCCAGTACTATGTTGAATAGGAGTGGTGAGAAGGGGCATGTTTGTGCCAGTTTTCAAAGGGAATGCTTCCAGCTTTTGCCCATTCAGTACAATATTAGCTGTGGGTTTGTCATAAATAGGTCTTACTATTTTGAGCTATGTTCCATCAATACCTGGTTTATTGAGAGTTTTTAGCATGAAGCGGTGTTGAATTTTATCGAAAGCCTTTTCTGCATCTATTGAGATAATCATGTGGTGTTTGTCATTGGTTCTGTTTATACGATGGATTACATTTATTGATTTGTGTATGTTGAACCAGCCTTGCATCCCAGGGATGAAGCCATCTTGATCATGGTGAATAAGCATTTTTGATGTGCTGCTAGATTCGGTTTGGCAGTATTTTACTGAGGATTTTCACATCAATGTTCATCAGGGATATTGGCCCGAAATGTTCTTTTTTTGTTGTGTCTCTGTCAGATTTTGGAATCAGGATGATGCTGGCCTCATAAAATGAGTTAGGGAGGAATCCCTCTTTTTCTATTGTTTAGAATAGTTTCAGAAGGAATAGTACCAGCTCCTCTTTGTACCTCTGGTAGAATTCGGCTGTGAATCCATCTGGTCCTGAGATTTTTTTGGTTGACAGGCTATTAATTACTGCCTCAATTTCAGAACTTGTTATCAGTCTATTCAGGGATTCAACTTCTTCTTGGTTTAGTCTTTGGAGGGTGTATGTGTCCAGGAATTTATCAATTTTTTCTAGATTTTCTAGTTTATTTGTATAAAGGTGTTTATAGTATTCTCTGATGGTAGTTTGTATTTCTGTGGGACCAGTGGTGATATCCTCTGTATCATTTTTTATTGTGTCTATTTGATTATTCTCTCTTTTCTTCTTTATTAGTCTAGCTAGCAGTCTATTTTATTAATTTTTTCAAAAGAAAAAAACACCTCTGGATTCACTGATTATTTGAAGAGTTTTTTGTGTCTCTATCTCCTTCAGTTCCACTCTGATGTTAGTTTTTTCTTGTCTTCTGCTAGTTCGATCATCCCAGAGCAACATCCCAGGTCAATTCCTGCTGTGCTGGCAACAGGAATTTCAAGCCAGTGATTCATAGCTTGCTGGGCTCCATGGAAGTGGGACCTGCTGAGTGAGACTACTTGGCTCCCTGGCTTCAGCATCCTTTCCAGATAAGTGAACGGTTATGACTCACTGGGGTTCCAGGCACCATCAGGGTATGAAAAACAAAATTCCTGCAGCTGGCTCGGTGTCTGCCCGAACAGCCACCCAGTTTTGTGCTTGAAACCCAGGGCCCTGGTGGTGTAGGCTCACCATGGAATCTCCTGGTCTGCGGATTGCAAAAGCTGTGGGAAAAGCGTAGTATCTGGGTTGGATAGCACAGTCCCTCGTGGCTTCCCTTGGCTGGGAAAGGGAGGCCCCCCGCTCCTTGCACTTCCCAGGTAAGGTGATGCCCCACCTTGCTTCTGCTCACCTTCCGTGGGCTGCACCCACTGCCTAACCAGTCGCAATGAGATGAACAGGGTATCTCAGTGGGAAATGCAGAAATCACCCGCCTTCTGCATTGGTCTCACTGTGCGCTGCAGACTGGAGCTGTTCCTATTTGACCATCTTGCCAGAACCCCCAACAAGAATATTTTTAAAACAAAGTAAATACCACCATACTCCTGGAAAAAAAAAATACATGTTTGCTCTCTGCCAAGAAGCAGCAGCATGGGGTTTGTAAATAGTTGGATTCCTAGTAAAGATTCTGCCCAGCTGAAAGTTGGCTTTGAAAATAATGCGACCAGAAACTTTGGGAGAACAGAACTTTAAGTAGCTCAGATAGCCTTCTTAGAGTTTGGATTACCATTGATTGTTCTCCTAAAGTGATAAGAAGTTTCTAGAGGAAGAGTGTGGAGATCAAAATGTCCTATGATCACCAGAATGCTATGTATCCAGCCCCTATGCACCTTGTGCTGTGCTTGTCTATGTGTGTTATAAGGACCCAAGTCCTACGGAGTCAGGAATCACCCTTCCCTTTAAAATCTTCCTTCTTTGACCAAGTCCCCCTCCTGCATGACTGCAGGAAATCCAGTTCTTTCCCAAAGTATTCCGGAGAATACCAAAGGTAGCTTACATTTTCAACCAACATGGTGCCTCTCTAGTCTGCTTGTTTCCTATGGACCACCTCTGGTCCTGAGCCTCTTCTCTCCATAGCTACAAACTTTTTGGGTACCACAAACCATACTCCTCCTTTTATTCTCCAAGAACAGCCAATAACAAAGCTTGAAGATAACAAAAGGGGAGCATAAGACAGTAATTTAAAACTGGGAACTAGAGAGTAGCTTCTTTCTACTCCCGGTGTCACCCAAGGCTCCCTTCTGGTTTTTCCCTGCTGCCTCTGCTCTGCTGCCCCCATGGTGGGATCCATTCCCCCTTTTTCAGTTGGCATCTCTGGCTGACATGTTCTCCACCCCTAGCCAGCAAAACCAGATTCCTTTATGGCCGAAAACATCTCTGCAGAGGTGTTTATTTCCTGAAGTCATTCTTTCTATAATTAAGCAAAATAACTGGATTGCGCCAGCCCCTACTGGCTCATATGTCACTAGTACTGGGCCTACCTACCATTAAGGAACGCAGCACTTTCAAGTTCTTTGATTCTCCATGTGACATGCCCAAGTGAACCAAGACCACCACTGCCCCAATCACCCACCCATTCCCAAAAAGTGAAAAATAAGCACACAAACGAGTGACTCGCGTTTAACTAATCTCAGAAACATTTGCATTCAGATTACTTTGCCTTAGAATTTCCTCCTCTCCACTCCATCAGGAGTGGGCATGTGCTTTATTATATCAACAAGACTAAGAAGCCTCACCCGAGTGGTCCCACTCAAAGAAGAGATTTCAGTTTCTACCTTAAAATGCAGAAGCCACTACAGATTAAAAGAGAAACACACACACTTTAAGAAACTCTCCCCTCCTCGTCTTCAAAGTGTGGGGTAAGCATTCCAGATCTCTCAGCCTGATGGACAGCTTGGAAGTGGGAGGGACCAATGTCCAACAAGTGGCCTTTGCCCCATGTCCATTGTGCCTTGTGTCTTCCCAGCTGACTCAGAATTCCTCACACCCAGCCCCCAGACTACTGCTCATGGGCTCAGTCAAAGTTGAGAGTAGCCAGGGTTTGGCACTTGGGAGACTCTCAAAAATATTTTTTGGACAAACAAGTGAATATGAGCCCTGAAACTTTCCAGGAGTCTCTGTCCCATTGGGTTCAAACCAGTAAAAAGCCAGAGAAGTGTCTTTCTGTCCCAAACATAAGCAAGAGATGGATGAGTCCTTTGTGCAGAAGTTACTAAATACTCTTTGGTGTGGAGGAGTTTTTGTTCATCAAACAACATCCAGTTTGTTTGATGAAAGATTAATATGATCGATGAGTTCAAAGTCATCTTCCAATTAAAGCATTCACTAAAACATGGCTGGGTTAATTCGCAGCTACAAGGAATAAATACACTTTATAAAATATGAGTTCCTGGTACTCAGGTTCTGCTTCAAAGGAAGTCTCAACCTAGACCATATAATGAATAGAGACCGAAGGAAGAGGTATTGGGAACTCAACTGATTACCAGGCAGGGGAGTGTGAGAGGAAATGGGGAAGAGGAACTAGGGATATCAGCTTCATCCTGGTCATGATTCACAGAAATGAGTGCAGAGAGAAGACAAAGTCAGATGCCCAGACTGCGGTGTTGGGGAACAGGAGGTCATCGAGTGTAGATTGCCAAGAAAAGAATGGAGGGTAAAACAATTGGAAGAGTTTCAATGAGAGTCTATTTTCTCCAAATAGGAGAAAAGCTTATGGGAGATCCCAACGGACCTTATCTGAAACACTTTGAGGGATCCATCTTGCTCTTTTCTACATTCTTTGTATTTTTTAGGTATTTCTGGAGGCATAAGAGAACCCTTCTCTAGCTTTTTTTTGGGTGGTTTCAGCTCCCAGCTGTCACTACAATCCCCAGCCATAATTTCAGACCTTCCATCCTGTCAACATTCTTCAAAACACAAAAATAACTCCTTTCTCTCTCTCACTCGCACAGTAGAGTTCAATTGATTAAACTTATCAAATTATTTTAAATATTTATCTGAAATCAGAGAGACTAGAAACTTCACATTTTAGGGTAATGATGAGGTAGAAAAGCAAGATAAATTGTCTTATCAATACTTTTGATAGATGATTTTTAAACAATAAGGAGTAAAGTTGATGTATAATTCTAAAAAGAAAATATTTCTTGGGATATGTGTTTCTAGATTAAGGTACTGAATAGCCCTGAATAGCGAATCACAGTTTTTCTTAAGGTCCTCCTCCCCTGAGGCTACACTATGGCTCGAAAAGGGCGGGATTATCATAAATAGAAAGAAGCTAGAGGCATTTTAGTTCAATAAAAAGAACATCTGGAAAAAGACATCTTCGTTACTGGAAATATTCAAGCAGAGGCTTCTGGGATGTTTCTGATGGTATTCAAGCATCAGAGACCAAGATCAGCCTAAGAAACAAGCAAGGTCTCTTCCTACAAAGAGAGTGAAATTAGATCAGTATATGAAATGCCTAGCACAGTGCCTGGTGCATAAGAGATACACACTAGATACCAGATCCTTCCCATCCTGAGAGTCTGTGGGTCTATGCTTGTATATATTGGATGTATTTCTGGAAGGGTAATTGGATACATTGTAGAGTCTTCCAGAAGTTCACAGTTTTCTTAATCAGAGGCATTGAGAGAAGGCAAGGGAAGGAAGCATGTTCTTTTTGCTTGTGTCAGTAACTCTTCCTCTAGTTGGAGTTCTCATCACCTTCAGGCAGTTATTGGTTTGGGCTTTATGCTATCCACTACAGCTGAAATAACTGCTCCAGCAGCCTTCGCTCCTTCCATCAGGGCGTGCTCTACCTGCAAGGCACATCAGTTCACAGGACAATCGGTACCAATCCTAGGCTTGCACCCTCCCCTACCTCTACCCCATACCCATTCAGCAACCAGCCTGCCTGGAGTCTATTCCCAAGAGAAGAAGCAGTCCATGCTATCTTATATTTTCAAAACTCCTAGAGTGACAAGAGACCAAGAAAAGCCAGGACTGTTGGAGACAACTCCTTCCTCCCTCTGTGCCATTTGGCCCAGGGCCTGCTTCCAGTGTGGAGCTCAGAAGCAAAGGATCTCACAGCACCACAGTCACTGAGGCCCTCATTCTACAAACAGGGGATCCAAGAGCCAGGGAACGGAACTCACTTGCACAGAGCTGTACAGTGAATTCGTGTCCAAACTTAGCTCTTGGGTTCTTGGGCCTCGTGACTCCTGGGCCCAAGCTTCTTCAGAGGACTTCTTGTAATGCCCTCAGTCCTTGGGATCTTCTTGTACAAATTCTCATGGGATAGGAGGTTTCTCACACTAGGGCCCACCAAGCCCCTGACTCTAGAGCAAAGCCTCACAAGAATGGAGTGCAGCCTGGAGAGGATGCAGAGCAGAGAGGAGGAAGGTGCAGAAAGTAAAGGGCACAGCAGGGAGGCTGCCAATGCTCTGAGGATGGGCTGGTAGCAGCAGAGACCAACATGGGAATGTGAGCCTAATCTGCTTAGACAACAGAAGAAACATAGAAAAAAATAGAACAACTGTGTTATCTTCTAATCCTTAATTTTTTTCATCTCTTTAAAGGGGGATAATAGGCCGGGTGTGGTGGCTCACGCCTGTAATCCCAGCACTTTGGGAGACTGAGGCGGGTGGATCATGAGGTCAAGAGATTGAGACCATCCTGCCAACATGGTGAATCCCCATCTCTACTAAAAATACAGAAATTAGCTGGGCGTGGTGGCATGTACCTGTAGTCCCAGCTACTTGGGAGAAGGAGGCAGGAGAATCGCTTGAACCTGGGAGGCAGAGGTTGCAGTGAGCCAAGATCGTGCCACTGCACTCCAGTCTGGGTGACAGAGCGAGACTCCGTCTCAAAAAAAAAAAGGCGGGTGGGGGATGATAAATACTTTCTCTGCTCATCTCATGGAGTTTTAGTAAGGATCGCCTATTAATATGAACAGCTCAAGTTTTTACATATATTTAGGATTCAAAGTTCTTTCACAAGCACTGAACTACACGAATTTATTACTTCTCTATATGGAAGGAAATGACAGAGCCAAATGCAGTATAGGCCAGGGAGGTAATGTGAGTGAAGCAGGTGGGTGACACACCTACCCCTTATCCCCTGCAAAGCCACAGCATGTCCCTACAGAGTGTCAGCAAGTAGGAATGCTAGCCCAGTGGCCTGATCAATTGTCTGTTAAAGAAAAGCTGAGGGCCAGGCGCGGTGGCTCATGCCTGTAATGTAGCACTCTGGGAGGCCGAGGCGGGCGGATCACCTGAGGTCGGGCACTCCAGACCAGCCCGGCCAACGTGGCGAAACCCCGTCTCTACTAAAAATACAAAAATTAGCCGGACGTGGTGGTGCACACCTAGTAATCCCAGCTACTTGGGAGACTGAGGCATAAGAATTGCTTGAACCCAAGAGGCGGAGGTTGCAGTGAGCCAAGACTGCACTACTGCACTCCAGCTTGGGTGACAGAGCAAAACTCTGTCTCAAAAGAGAAAGAGAGAGAGAGAAGCTGAGAAGCTACATATTTTTATATAAAATTTTATATAAAATTTCTATATTTTTTAATATGGGTAGGTAATACAAACAAAAATTGTGTGTGTGTGTGTGTGTGTGTGTGTGTATCCAAGATGTAGCCCACAAGGTACTAGTTTACAATTTTAGCAACAAGGTATCTGCTTCCGCTTATCCCTGCTTTGTTAAGGAAGAAATGGTCTTTGGCCAGGCATGGTGGCTCACACCTGTAATCCCAACACTTTGGGAGGCCGAAGTGGAGGATCACTTGAGCCCAGGAGTTCAAGACCAGCCTGGGCAACATAGCAAAACTGCCTCTCTACAAAAAAATTAAAATTATCTAGGTGTGCTAATGCACGCCTGAACTCCCAGCTATTCAGGAGGCTAAGGCAGGAGGATTGCCTGAGCCCAGGAGGTTGTGGTTGTAATGAGCCATGATTATGCCATTACACTCCAGCCTAGGTGACAGAGTGAGACCCTGTCTCCAAAGAAAGAGGGGGAAAAAAAGAATAGACAGAAAAGCTTTCAGAAATATAGTGACTTGACCAAGGATACCCCTCTAGTTAATAGTTGAGCTGGGGCTCCAACTGGTGGTCTTACCATTAGCCCAGAGCCTTTTCTCTCCTCCCTGGGTTAATAAAGGTGAAAACACCCCTTGAACCATAAAGTCCTGCAGAAATAGAAGGCCCTACTAGTACAACGAATAATATAATGAAAGCACTGATGCCGGGCGCGGTGGCTCACGCCTGTAATCCCAGCACTTTGGGAGGCCGAGACGGGCAGATCACGAGGTCAGGAGATTGAGACCATCCTGGCCTACATGGTGAAACCCCGTCTCTACTAAAAAATACAAAAAACTAGCCGGGGGAGGTGGCGGGCGCCTGTAGTCCAGCTACTCGGGAGCCTGAGGCAGGAGAATGGCGCAAACCCGGGAGGCGGAGCTTGCAGTGAGCTCAGATCCGACCACTGCACTCCAGCCTGGGCAACAGAGCGAGACTCCATCCCCCACCCACCCAAAAAAAAAAAAAAAAAACAGCACTAATTACCATTCTGATCACTAATGAAATGACAAACCCCAAGAAAGCTCTGGAAGAAGCCATAATCAGAGCAAATGGGGTCACACCTGCTGGCTCCGGGGTACGCCGTATCTGAGGCCATTGACAAAGTGCTCACAGTTCCCTTCAATCAGACTGTACTGCACGATCTTGTTGACCATCTTTTTTGTACGCTGGATGATCTTGTCCACTGGTAGGGGCAGGTACGTCCCATCTAGCTTGTTATTGACCTTCCAGGAGCAGCCATGCAGCACATCCTCCAGACGACTGTATTTCACCACAGCCCGATTGCTAAAGATGGAACTAATGCTGCCCACCTCAAACTCCTCACCTGGAGACCAAAGACAAACAGAGGTTGGGAAGTGCAAGGAGTAGCAGAGCAGAGCACAGTCTAAGGCTCTGAGTAAGCTGCTTCCCCTGGGGTCTCACTGGCACCATCAGTAGAAGGGTGACAGAAGAGGGGGAACTGGAGTCAAAGAACTGCAGAGAATCAACTTTCCTGAGAAGCCCTTTGCCCTGCGCCTCACTCCCTGCTCTCAACCTGCATAGGAGTCTCTTTGTCATTAAACTCTTGCAGCACCTTCCCATGTGGTCCCTGATTGTGTTGCACTGACCTGCCAAAGTCCTAGGATTTGAGTTTCATTTCCTAAGCAGACTTCAGTAATCGTCACAAACATGTAAAGAGCACTCCCTATGTGAGTGTCAGTCCCTGGGTAAAGGACTATCACATACATGATTATGGTGGTTCCATGACACACCTCCCTCTGGGGCTGCCACAGGGGCACAGGGGAAGCCAGCCAAGCAGGGCTCTGAATGGCACCTGCTCCTGCCAGCTTCCACCTACAGCCACTTGACTGTTACCTGTACTCAAATACGGGGATTCTCATTAAGGGTATGTTTGAAAACGGGGTTCCACAGCTTTGAAAAGAGAAATGTTTGAAAGCTGCTACACTATCATATTCAGCCCTTAGACAAGACAGAGTCTCGAAGAGGGTCAGGAACCTGCCCAAAGCCAGGTGGATAGTCATTTAAAGCCAGCACTGTTTCTCTGCTACAACCGTGTCGACATGCAAATATCTATACCCTTCCCTTTATAAGTTGTCCAAGGGCAAGAAATGCTCCATGATCTTTTCTTACAAATGTGAAGAAAATCTGCTGATTTTATAAAATCTGGTAGCAGATAATTAAGCATTCAGGAGCAGAAATGGCAGAATTCATTTTCAGAGAGAGCAAGATAGGAGTGGGGGAAGGTATAACTGATAAGTATCTCTGTGGTTGCACAAGAGGGAAACTCCTAGACTTAGTCTGGAAAGAAGAGATGAATTATCACATTCTTGGAGTAGGTTCTGAGACAAGAAGTGAGAAGGGTACGAGCGGATGGGGCAGAGAAGAGAGGCAATGAGAAAGGGGCTCTGCTCCATGGGAACATCCCAGCATGGTGAGAGACAGGGCCAGAGGAAGAGGACAGGACACGGAGATGACAGCTGAGAACAAGTTAGGACCAAAGCCCTGTGGTATACTGCCCTTCTGTAATTCAACTTTGAACTGGCAATACCTGCACAGGAGACAGCATTCAAAGGGCATTCAAGGGTATTCAACAGGGTCCCCCTACCCCTTCCTCTCCCACACCCCAGCCCTCATCAGGCCTCATCTCCTGAGACAACCATTGTGACCAGTGGTTCTAGACACCCAATTTTTCAGTTGTTTCCCATTTTGCTGTAATCTCCCTCTACTATCATCACCTCCTCCCCCATCAAATCTCCACTAAGATTTAATGAACACAAATTGAATCTCAGCCATATGTTAAGACAGCTGTGAGAAATGAAAGGAGGGCTCTATCTACACTGAGGGTGAAACAGCACAGAGCGTGTTGGAACAGCAGGGAGACAAGATGAGGACAAAGGTGCCAAAGGTGATCAAGAAGCCAGATGCAGTGTTTGAGGACTATAGAAAACAAATGACGATCAGAACATGCCAGCATCTGCACCCTCCTTGGGGAATCCTCAGAAAGGTGAGGACAGATGCTCAACTCTTGTCAATACAAAAATGGAGCTCAAGTTCTAAAACGTGTGTTTTTAAACAAAGGGCCATCTAGGAGGTCAGGGAACTTGGGCCACGCTCTTTACACTTGTATCACTCTTAGGCCTGGACACTCGGTGGTTTTTGGTGAAGAGAGACCAAGCTCTGTCACAGTAAACAACGGTCCAGTCATGCTTCAAGGGGTCCCGTTGCTAAAGAATGGCAATAACTGAGGAACACAGGAATGAACTGTGCTTCTATTTACTTGGCTGACTTCAATATCAGTATGTCAATATACTATTCATTCTTACTCGGGGGAGCCAGATGGACCACGCAATCATCTTCTACATAGATGGCCCAGTGCTCATAGCCAATTCGAAAAATCTCAATCAGGTCTCCAGGTCTGGGTCTTGGTTTTCCCTATAATGGAAAAATAAAAGATACATGGCACATGCCCAAGGAATTCCAGAGACCTAGTCTTAGGATCAGGTACAGCTCAGCCTAAAGATCCACTCAGTGTGGTTCATTGCTTCACAGAAACCGAAGCTAAAGAAATTTCTCTTCACACTGAGGACCAAAGAAGTCCCCTCCTCTCCTACCACCACTCACATTACTAAAGCCATCAAGGATACCTGTGCCAGTTATCAATGTATTGCCTCTCAGCTGTGAATGTACCCTCCAATATATACCCTGTGATAGATGACTAAACTTCTTTAAGCATTTCTTCCTTAAAGCAAGTAAGATGTTAAACCTTCTCAGTAGAGGGTGCTGGAGGGACACTGCAAGAGAAAGAGGCTCTCCTGCAGTTTCTGGCCAGGGGTGGGCAGGATGATGGTCAGTAGTGTGGTGTGTGGACATCTAGTAGAGTTCTACCTCAGACCCAGGATCCTCAAGGCCTCCTGCCTCTGCTGGCACCCTGATTCCCTCTGCAGGGCCCCCACATGACCCACCTGAAGCCCAGAGGGTGCCCCCATCCTCTGCACACCCACACCACCAGTTGCTAATAGCCACTTCAGTCCTGCTTGCCCAGCAATTGCAAACTTCTCTATTATCGTGTGTGTGTGTGTGTGTGTATGTGTGTGTGTGTATGTGTGAGACAGGTAGAGAGAGAATGAGAATATACATGAAAAGGTAGGCATAGAGTTGTAAATATGATGAGCATCCATATTTTTAAAAAAATCTTTGGCCAGAGCTCCAGGTCTCACCTTCACTGCTGTGTTATCATCTCCTGGAGGCCCAGCTTCTGGGGCCCTGTGACCTGCAGGTCTTTGAAAATCCATAGGTAAGATGTTAGGACCCCCTAGAAGCCTACAAATGGTATTGCTGTCTCTAAACCAGACCTGATCACCTACTTGGAGCAAAGAAAAGAGCCCTGGAATATGGAGAGACACAAGATGGTACAGAAACACCCAGTTACATGTTCTCATTTCACCCAAGACCCTTGGCCAGAACAGGGTATAAAACACTCATTCCCAAAAATGATACTAAAAAGATATGGAAAATGTAAACATGAAAATTTACAATTAAGGAAAGGCTATAAAAGTGTGGGTGAGTGCAAAGTGCACAAAGGTCATAATGAACTTAATTAACATCATTAATGTCATTAATTTGTCAACTACTCAGAGCAAAATATTTTAATGCAATACATGTGTGAAAGTCTCTAGCAAATTTTTGAACTCAAATAGACATGACATGACACACTGGAGAGAAACCCTTCAAATGTAAAGAATATGGCAAACTGGCCAGGTGCCGTGGCTCACACCTGTAATACTAGCACTTTGGGAGGGCGAGGTGGGTGGATCACCTGAGGTCAGGAGTTCGAGACCAGCCTGACCAGCATGGTGAAACCCCATCTCTACTAAAAATACAAAAAAGTTAGCCAGGCTTGGTGGCATGCACCTATAGTTCCAGCTATTCAGGAGGCTGAGGTAGGAGAACGGTTTGAACCTGGGAGGCGGAAGTTGCAGTGAGCCGAGATCACGCCATTGCACTCCAGCCTGGGTGACAGAGCAAGACTCTATCTCAAAAAAAAAAAAAAAAAAAAAAAAGAATGTGGCAAATTATTTCACACGCTTTCACACCTAACTCAACGTCAGAGAAGTCATACTAGACAGAATTCCTACAGATGTGCAGAATGTGGCAAAGCCTTTAACCAGTCCTGAGCCCTTACTAAACATAAGATAATTCGCACTGGAGAGAATCCCCACCAATGTGAAGAACGTAGCAAAACCTTCAACCAGTTATTAACCCTTATTACCCATAAGATAATTCACACTGGAGAGAACTCCCACAAATGTGAAGAATGTGGCAAAGCCTTTAACCATTACTCAACTCTTATTAAACATGAGAGAATTCATAGTGGAGAGAAACCCTACAAATGTAAAGAATGTACCAAAGCCTTTAACTGGTCTTCAAACCATATTGAACATGACAGAAGTCATACTAGAGAGAAACCCTACAAATGTAAAGGATGTGACAAAGCCTTTTAAGTGCATCTCAAGCCTTACTAAACATAAGATAATTCATACTGGAGAAAAACCCTCCAAATGCAAAGACTGTGGTAAAGCTTTTAACCAGTCTTCAACTCTTATTATATGTAAGAGATTCATACTGGAGAGAACCCTGTGATTGAATATGGCAAAGCATTTTAACGGTCCTCAAACATAAGATAATTGATACCAGAGAAACTCTAGAAATCTGAAAAATGTGGAAAAGCTTTTAACCACACCTCATACCTTTCCAAACATAAATTATACTGGTGAGAAATCCTAGAAATGTGAAGAACGTGGCAAAGCCTTTAAATGGTTGTCATACCTTACTGTATGTAAGATAATTCATACTGAAGAAAACCCCTACAGATATAAATAATGTGGTAAAACTTTTAATTAATGTTCATGCCTTATTGCACAGGAAAGCATTTATACTTTAGAAAAATTGTACAAATATAAAGAATGTGGAAAAGCCATTGCTATCTGCTCACATCTTACTCAAAATCAGAGAATTCATACTTAATGAAACCATTATAAATGTAATTACTGTAAAAAAAACTTTCAGAAAATTAAGCCTTTAAAGTGAATAAGAGTATTTATTTTGAAGAAAAACATTACATATATAAAGAGGATTGTAGTACCTTTACTTGTATTACAAACCTTATTGCACATATTTTATACCAGAGAAAAACACCAAAGCAGTTGTTCAAACCTTGTTGAATATCAGAGAATTTATGTTGCAAAGAAACCCTACAGATGTAATGAATGTAGAAACACATTTGTTTAAAAACTCCAGTGTGGAGAACGCCAGAGAGATCATATTAAAAGATACTTTTGCAGATGCAGTAAATGTGAAAAAAATATTTAATCAAACATTAAGTCTCTGTAAACATTAGAGGATTCACGGTAGAAAGAACTAAGGTACCAACACTTCATACATTACACTAAATCAGAGTGTAGAGTACGGAAAATAATTCAAAGCTAAAACTGTCAGATTTTTTTGTATATAACTTTACAAGAAACAAGACTTTTTTCAAGAGTTATAATTACAAAGTATTTGTTTTCCCTTGAAAAAAATTATAGTTTGTTGAAAGCAAATGTCATTTAACTCTCAAATTACTTCATGCTGTTCCTTCATTCTCATTGTTTACGTGAAAGCACGTGATCCATTATTGGTGCATCAGATCTATGAGAGATTCGTTTTCATTAGGTGGGCATTATTTATGACCTTTTCCATGGAAGAGTAAGGACATTGAAATGCAAGGTGTGCAATGAAAATCTAAGTGAAGAGGCTCCTTGTGGTTGACTTATAACATGGTTTCAGTGAAGCAAGAGGTAGGTATTCAGAGTAATATTCTTCTACATGATAGTGAGAGAAAAATATCTTGAATTTTAGTAGTAAATCATTTTAAATGCAGTACAATTTGAAATTCTGATTTAAGATTACAGGTGAACTTAATTTTTTAAACAAAACTGTTTTAAAAAATATTAATAATAGGCTGGATAAAGAAAATATGAAATACTATGCAACCATAAAAAGGATGAGAGCATGTCCTTTGCAGAGACATGGTGGGAGCTGGAAGCCATTATCCTCAGCAAACTACCACAGGAACAGAAAACCAAACACCGCATGTTCTCACTTATAAGTGAGAGCTGAATGATGGGAACACGTGAACACACAGGAAGAGGAACAACACACACTGGGTCCTGTTGGGGTGAGGGTTGGAAGAGGGAAAGCATCAGGAACAATAGTGAATGGATGCTGGGCTTAATACCAAGATGATGGCTTGATCTGTGCACGAACCACCATAGCGCAATTTGACCTGTGTAAAAAACCTGCACATCCTGCACATGTACCCCAGAACTTAAAAGCTGAAGAAAAAAAAAGAAAGAAAAAAACAGCCCAAACAGCCATCAATAAGCACCAGTTAAGTAAATAATCCTACATCCACACACACAGAGACATTAGAGAGAGCAAGCGGAATTTACACGAGCACATAACGCTGCTGAGACTCATGCTTGCTGCATGTACTCCATTATATGGAGGCACCACATTTTACCTAACCAACATTGTTCTTTTTCAATATCACTTTGGCTATCCCAGGTCCTTGGTCTTTCCATGTAAATTTTAGGATCACTTCATCAATGGATATCAAAAAAAATATTTTGACAGGGATTGTGTTTAATCTGTAGATCGATTTGGTGAAGACTGCCACCTTAAGACTACAGATATTTTGCAACCCACAAACATGGAATTTGTTTTGTGTACTTAAATCTTCAATCTCCCTTACCAATGTTTTGTAGCCTAACATTTTTGTTCAAGTTATTCCTGAGGACTTTTATGCTATGATGAATGGAATTATTTTCTTAATTTCATTTTCAGAGAGTTCACTTGTGATATACAGAAATTCCATTGATTTTTGCACATTCGCCTTGCATCCTGCAACTTTGCTGAACATATGTATTAATTCTAATGGTTTTGTGGCCCAGGCGCGGTGGCTCATGCCTGTAATCCCAGCACTTTGGGAGGCCAAGGTGGGCAGATCACTTGAGGCAAGGAATTCAAGACCAGTCTGGGCAACATGGTGAAACCCCATCTCTACTAAAAATACAAAAAAATAAAAAAAAAAAATTAGCCGGGAGTGGTGGTGCACGTCTATAGTCCCAGTTACTTGGGAGGCTCAGGCATGAGAATCGCTTGAACCTGGGAGGTGGAGGTGGAAGTGAGCTGAGATGGTGCCACTGCACCACTGCACTCCAGCATGGGTGACAGAGCAAGACTCTGTCTCAAAAAAAAAAAAAAAATTCTAATAGTTTTGTAAGTACAGGCACGTCTCATTTTATTGTGCTTTGCTTTATTGTACTTCACAGATAATTTCATTTTTTACAGGTTAAAGGTTTGTGACAACCATGCGTCAGATAAGTCAATTG